TCTCGGATTCATATCACATCAAACCGGCCCAAATCATCTAGTCAGGTTGTATTTGGGTCGATTGGATCAGATGAGTTTAAACATTTTGGTTTAGATTGGATGACTGATCAAGCCAAATCGGATTGAGTTGAGCTGACAAGGTTCGGGTTACTTTGCACCAATAGCGGATGAAACTATTTGGATCCAAGTTGAACCGGGTCAAACCAGCTTTACCTGTCATTGCCTAGGTTGCTTTGGGCCAGACATAGTTGGGCCATTTAGACCCGGATCAAGCCAAGTTGATTCAATTGGGATGAAGTTAAATGTATATGAATTGTTTTGGGCTGGGAGCAATTGGGTCGTTGGGCCAACTGGTTAGGTTTGGGTTAAGTAGGGCTACTCAAATTAGAAGTCATTGAACTATTTAACTAGAATTATGTTCATGTGGATATAGGTGAACTGTGTTGACCTGAATCAGAAATAATTTTGGTCAATAATTATTTTCAATAATGAATTAAAAATTAATGCGTTAATTATGAATTATATTTGTGAGTTGATTTGAATGAAGAAAATTAATAAAAAACGGTTAGGCATTTCACACTGGTATCATTTGCAACTAACTCAATGGGTATCCCCAACTTGGCTCAATCCAATCCAACCCATTTAAATTGGTTCAATGAGTGATTCAACCTATTTTCAACCATTTAAATTGATTCAACCTATTTTCAACAGGTTGGGTTTTAAATTGCCGCCCCTATAAAGAGCAAGGTTTAGCTGTGGAACTAATGATAAGGTTCTATGCCAGTATTTAAAATTTTTACATTGGGGCCTATGAATTTATTACTGACATAAAACCATATCATTGATTTTACAACCCGCTAAACAGCTAAAGCGTTCAGCCGATCCGAATTCTACTTTTAGGGAAATAAAAAGCCTCCTCCATAAGAAATCTTTGAAAACAGTTAGAGAAAAAAAAAGTACTCTTAGAATGCAAATAATAGTTAGCCAGCTCTAGACGGTATTTTCTTGTTTCATTTTCATTCCTAGAATAGAATAGGATCCAAATAACACATTTACAATTAAGAACTTGTTTTCCATACTTTTTGTTTTAGGAAACAATATATTTTAAAATCAAATGGTTTTAACTTGTTTTTGGAACTCATAACAAGAAATACAATTCATATTGAAGAGCACCCCCATATAGCTATTATATTACGAAAAGGGCCCTTGGGTTCGAGTGGCCCTCCATATATATAGAGGCATGGAGCTAGAGGAGAGTTTTGGAGCCTGACCTCCCCACTTTGAGGTGCTTGTATCCTACCTATTGTTATACAAAGCTACATATCAAAGAGATTTCTGGTATAGGAAATTCTCCGTTTACTTCTAAGTATAAAATAGATGAGAAAATATTGAAGGGATGGTGAGATAAATACTACCAAGATGATTGTCAAAGGGAATCAAGAGAAGTTATTAATCTTTAAATTTTTGGAAAATCCATAGTGCATGTACTACACTGTGCAAGAAAAGACGGATGAGTTGAATATGATGGTAAGTAAACATTATTAAACATAAATTAAACGTTAATCAATGAAAAGTAGGTATATATATTTTTAAAAAGAGTATTTTTTGGTAAATAAAAAATATCAAAAGAGTAATTCTTTTCACTTTCCAATAGGGAAAGTCTACTTTTTTTCAGATATGCCCAACTCTTTGAAAAAAATTTGCGATGCTGGAAATATCTGATACTGGAAAGGCAAGGTTTTAAAACCAGACCGGACATGGGACCATTATGGGGTCCGGTTCCTGTGTCGAATGGTCCAACCATGCTGTTCGAATGAACAACCTATTCTGATTTAAAAAATAAATAAAAATGACCAAAAATTATTGTTTATGTCAAAGGTTCGACTGCCCGAATCAATAGATTACTGAACAAATCAACGATTTTTAGCTCAAAAGCAGTTTTATGGTGAAACAGAACCAGAGTTCCTGAGTTTTCCGGTTTAACCTAATTTTCAAAACCATATGAAAAGACTTTGACCAATCAGAACCCCCATGAATTTTGATGAAATTTTGTGGTGTTTGTTGATTGATTATGAGTTTTTCCAGTATCATTTTTTTTTTTGCATCATAGTCTAAAACCTAAAATGAGTTATTATTTACAAATAAAATCTGATTTCAACTCTTAAATAACAAATTTATATATCTAAAAATCTACAAATAATAACCATCATGAACATATAATATAAATAATGGAAATCAAACAAAACTGATCAAAATATTTAATCCTGTGCTTCGTAAGGAGTGATCATTTAGCAGTAAAGTGAAAGGTTTGTATTATAGATACCTAAAAATACATACAGATGAGATGAGGATAACTATGATCAGATGTATTTAAGATACTGCCACGTTTAATTATTTACCTACCTTTACCTGTAGGCCAAAAATCTGGAACCGTGATTGAGTGGGCCCTACCCAAGGGTAGCTAAAAATTAACGTAATCAGGCAAATTATAACCACTTGATTTGGGCATTATCTAAAGAATTCTTTTAAAAACTTTTTCCCGGTCCAATTTTCTACGGTTCGAACTTCTGATTTTGGGCAAACCGCTCTGCTACTCTGCCTGTTAGGGACTTGGGTAAGGGCCCCATTTGATCATGGATCCGAATGCTCGAAAGTCGAAACATAGGGGCACACGGCAGGCCCATTTAATCGGTTTTTGAATTTTTTCCGTCAGCGCTGGGTTCAAGACTCAAGAAGACAACGGTTTACTCCAATAACGGTAGGCCCAACCTTCTAGATACGTCCACATCCGTGGTAAATACAAAAAGGGTAAATTGCACAAACTTCCCTGAAGTTTGGTAATTGTAATCACTTCTTTTTTGAATTTGTTAATATAGTTGTAAATAGGTTTTTATAGTACAATTTTCTAGAAAATGTTTAAAATATTAATATAGTTATTTTTAATAAAAATTATATATTTTAAATTTTTTTGCAAGGTGTCACTCAGCTGGTTGGTAAGGTCTCTTACTAGTTAGGGGGTTATGGGTTGGGAGATGGGCTACTCTCTATTGTGAGTTCAGATCTTCTCCTCGTAGGGCCCATTCTTGTGTAGCCCTTCAAAAGAAATAAAAAATGTTTGTTTTCTAAATTTTGTCTTCATATGAATCACTATTCCAATCTCTTTTTTTAAAATTGATTTATTTTCTAAATTTGGCCTTCATATCAATCACTCAAAGATAAAGCTTCAACTTTAAATTCTCTTTATTTTTGTTGTTCATAAAGTTTATGTTATTTTTTTTTTCATGTGGAAACCAACCTCAATAATAATTACATAGGTAAAAATTTTGATGTCTTTTTTAGTATACTTTATCAAAGGGGATCTACTTGCAACCGAGTTAAAAAAGTTTAAGGGAGATGACTGCAATTACTAAATTTCAATGGAGGTTTTAGCAACAGTCATACTTTAGGCCAAGTTTCAGCAAGTTACCCTAAAAATACTATTACCAAAGCCATCTGATAATTATCTATAGGCTCATTTTAGTTTGTTGGTCATAAACCGTCAAAGTGAACAATATCGTATATCGAGATCGAGAGATCTATTAATAATCTAACCAACTCCCAACAATTTTTGTTTATTTTCTTTTTTGTTTGAAAATGCCCGAAGGCTAATCCATTCAACAATTACTCAATTACATCAGATTCCAAAGAAGAAATAAAAAAAATGTAGGTGCTACAAACCAAGTGTGCGCTGAAGAACAAGACAAAGCATGTTTAGCAAGTCTATGGGCAACCCTATTACAAAGCCGGGGAGCAAAAGTAATCGAATAGTCTTGAAGGTGGGATACGAATCTCTTGCAATCTATAAAAAAGAGTGTAGATATTCCATGGAGGGGTAAGGGTATCCTCTAACAAGAGATTAATCAAAAGTTGTGCATCACCTTCAATTACAACAATAGAAATACCAAGGGAAGAGACAAGTCAAAGGCTTTCCAAAAGAGCTAATGCTTCATTGAAGAGTGCTGAGGTGTTATAGGAATAGCATGTGTAAAAAGAAATGAGCCATTATTATACTGAATAATGATTCCAATGCTAGATTTATCAGTATTAGTGGCACCATCAAAATTGATTTTCTCACTACCTCTTAGTGGTGGGATCCAATGGATCACTGTAATTGGGGTCAAAGAATTATTCTCATTAGATACCACTAAAGAGTGATAAATAACTTCAGAATGCAACTGTCAATCCCCACGAGCCTTTTCTATAATGATTTTAGAGAATTGGTATTGATGATTGAAAATGAGGGTATTGCGGGTATTGATTGTTACTCAAATCAAGAAAAATCCATTCTGATAGGCTTCTCTCTAAATGGATTTTATGGGTAAAGCATTTTATAGAGCTACTTTTAATGGGTAAGGCATTTAAGACTCGCATTCTTGAGGCTCCGGAATTGACGCAAATAATGCTAGAAGCCATAAATTGATTTATAACATGATGTTTTAGTATAACATCCACGATGTATATCGGCTTCCAAATTAATTTGTTGGGCATTGTGTGAGCCTCTAAAGAAAGCCGAATGGAGGCAAAAGATTGAGCAGTAAGAAAGTTGAGATTGATTTCACAATTGGCCTTTCAGATACTCATATCTGTATATATATATAGAGGTTAAAAGTTTTATTTATTTTCAGATACTTATGTATTGTATATAGATTTATGTATTCCTATCAAATGTACCTTTTGCTTGATTGATAGTTGCCCTTTCCGGCGAGACCGGATCTGCTCTTCAGACGTTGCGCCTCACTGAGCATCTCTCTTATTAGTTTGATTGGTGGATGTGCATGTGAGGAGCAGCAGATCCCGTCGCCTTTCCGGCTCCTTTCCCACACCTTCGAATTCAAAATCAGTGGCATCGCTGTGAATATATTCCAGGCCGAGCCTATTTTGCTTTATTTTTTCTCCTCGCTTTCTGAAACTTTCTTTTTGTTTTTTATACGAAGCCACTATAAAAGATCTCTCTCCTCTCTCTCTCTCTCTCTCGTCTCGATCCAACTTCAAAAATCAAAAGCAAAAATACATAATAGTAGTACCCAACCCAAACCCTCCGCCGTGCCTCCTTGCCTGCCGTTGCTTCTTCGCTTCCTCCTCTCTCACACTCCCACTCCTCCAATCCTTCCCCCTGCTAACCCTCTCTGTCTCTCTTTCTCTCTCGCACCAGTAGGTTCATCCCTTATTCTCTTTCTGTTTCATCTTTTCTGTTTGATTTCGCTTCTCAGATTTCTTATGTTTTTTTGAATTACTTTTAGGGTTCATTTATCAGCAATAATGTCTCTGAGACCGGGCGCCAGGACAGAGATTCGTCGGAACCGATACAAGGTTGCCGTCGATGCCGAGGAAGGTCGGAGAAGGAGAGAAGACAACATGGTTGAGATCCGAAAGAACAGAAGAGAAGAGAGCTTGCTGAAGAAGAGGCGAGAAGGAATGCAAGCACAACAATTTCTCACCGCGGTTCATGCTTCGACCGTCGAGAAGAAGGTATGATTGATCGCTTTTCATTGAATTTAGTTATTTGTCGGATTCACCCGAAGATTGTCGTGGATTTGAAGTCTTGTTGGTTTCGCTTTTGATCCAAGGATTTGGGTTAGGGTTTTTAGATTCCGGTGTTGAGAGTTTTCTGTTTGTTTTCCGGTTTTGATCTCGTTGGTTGGATCTGTTTTCTTAGAATTTGGTTTTAGTATTCATATAGAACGTTCGGTCATCGGTGTAATTATGGAATGACTCAGGGCCTTCAAGTTTTGAATTTCTTATTACTACAATTGCAGTTAGAAAGTCTTCCCTCTATGGTCGCTGGGGTTTGGTCGGACGATGGTGGACTGCAGCTAGAGGCGACCACTCAGTTTCGCAAACTACTTTCAATAGGTATTAGCTAGTAATAGCAACATTTTTCTTATCTCTTTTCTTCCTTAGCATTAATTTTATTTGGTTGACTACAATTTTGTTCTTATTTTTCTACAGAGCGCAGTCCTCCGATTGAGGAAGTTATTCAATCCGGTGTTGTCCCTCGTTTTGTTGAGTTCCTTTTGAGGGAGGACTTTCCGCAGCTTCAGGTTCAAAGAAATATTATTCTACAGTTATTGTTACCCCTCTCCCGTGGTTTTTATTATGTATCTTTTTCCCTAATATCATATCAACTTGCATAGTTCGAGGCGGCTTGGGCTCTCACCAACATTGCTTCTGGAACCTCGGAGAATACCAAAGTTGTAATTGATCACGGGGCCGTACCAATTTTTGTAAAGCTATTAGGCTCCCCGAGTGATGATGTCCGGGAACAGGTATACATAGAACCTGATTCTAAATTGCTTTGAAGCTGCATTCGTTCAGTTTTTATTCTTGTATTTACAAAGTGGCCTCTAAGTTTATTCTCTTTGAGCATCTAAGGAATCTGAGGCTTATGATGGATATCTTTCTAAAACTGTAGGCTGTGTGGGCATTGGGGAATGTTGCTGGTGACTCTCCGAGATGCAGGGACCTTGTTCTAGGCCATGGAGCATTGATTCCTCTGCTTGCACAGTTAAATGAACATGCCAAGCTTTCTATGCTGAGAAACGCCACTTGGACTCTATCGAATTTTTGCAGGGGCAAGCCACAGCCACCTTTTGAGCAGGTGGGGGTTTGACTTTCTTGCTGCAACTCGGCAATTTTCTGCTGGTTGCATTTTTATATTCTTAAATTGTTGAAATTCCTTTTGCAGACAAAGCCTGCACTCCCAGCTCTGGAGCGCCTAATTCATTCAAATGATGAAGAAGTTCTGACAGATGCATGCTGGGCCCTTTCATATTTGTCTGATGGCACAAATGATAAAATTCAAGCTGTTATTGAAGCGGGGGTTTGCCCTCGACTTGTTGAACTATTGCTGTGAGTGTTTTAGTTTATTTTCATCTGATTGTGTTGTGTAATATGATTTCCAAGTCTGGAGGTCTTAACTCCTTGTTTGTTGTTTTCAGCCACCCATCTCCTTCAGTTCTCATTCCTGCCCTTCGTACCGTTGGAAATATTGTTACTGGAGATGATATCCAGACTCAGGTACAAATCTGAGGTGCCTTCAGTATGTAATATGTTCATGACAGTTAGTAATTTTGTCATTGCAATGATACTTTTTTTTCTTTGTAATTGCAGCCATTCTTTTTCTGTGAATGAAACAATGTCTACTGATAGATTATGTGGCACTCAAGATTTTATATCAACCATAATTTCTGTGTGAATATTTATAACAAAACACAAGCTTGTTTTTTTGAATGCATTTTAGAGTAGTTATAAATAATTGTTGCAAGTGTTGCTCCATACATTTGCTGGATTTCTTGAGAAACTATTTGTGAGTTCCATTTCCTGCCCTTCGTACCGTTGGAAATATTGTTACTGGAGATGATATCCAGACTCAGGTACAAATCTGAGGTGCCTTCAGTATGTAATACGTTCATTGACAGTTAGTAATTTTGTCATTGCAATGATACTCTTTTTTTTCCTTTGTAATTGCAGCCATTCTTTTTCTGTGAATGAAACAATGTCTACTGATAGATTATGTGGCACTCAAGATTTTATATCAATCATAATTTCTGTGTGAATATTAATAACAAAACACAAGCTTGTTTTTTGAATGCATTTTAGAGTAGTTATAAATAATTGTTTCAAGTGTTGCTCCATACATTTGCTGTCTTTCTTGAGAAACTATTTGTGAGTTCCATTTTTCTATTCATTGTGTGGGAACATTTCTGAGTAATTTTTTTTGGACCTTTGTAATGGTGTCTATTCTTCCATATCAACACTTCTTTCTTAAATTTTGGCCATATTTACTGTTTGTCGGCAAACTCCTAGCATTTTATTGTGGCATTGGCTACGATTAATGTAAAAGTGGCTAATAGCCTACTTTCCATCTTGAATTTTAGGGTTATATTTTTTTTGGACTTGTTAACATTCAGTATTATTGTTTTTTTGATAAGCAACATTCAGTATTATTGTTCATAAATTGGCTTCAAGTAATGTGAAAGCGTCTTGTGTTGGTTAGGACTTTGATGTTGGATCATTCATTATTGTGAACCTCTCATATTAAACATTTTGCAGATTTTAGAATTTACATTGTATGTTCAGTTTTGAGTATACCATGTTTTGCCCTGAGGTATTGATGTTGATATTCAAATTGTTCTCTATCCAGTATATCATCAATCATCAGGCACTTCCTTGCCTTTTGAACTTGTTGAACCACAATCATAAAAAGAGCATCAAAAAGGAAGCTTGCTGGACCATCTCAAACATAACGGCTGGAAATAAGGATCAGATACAAGTAAGGAGAATATCCCTTTTGCATATGGAATTATGGTTGAAATTTCAAGACTTGTAATTGTGACTGATGTTCTTGATTTCATGCTTTCTGAAACTCGATTTGTCTTGCCCATCACTCCGGTTTTTATTTCTGATTAGTTGCGTAAGTGATAATTGAGGATCTGTAAGTTTTTTTTTTTTTTTTTTAAATTTTTTTTGCAACGCTTGAAATTTGCTTAGGCTGTTATTGATGCTCAAATAATTGGTCCGCTGGTCCAATTACTTCATACTGCTGAGTTTGATATCAAGAAAGAGGCTGCATGGGCAATTTCTAATGCAACGTCTGGTGGTAGCCATGATCAGATCAAGTATGTTTCTCAGCTTTTCCATGTGAATATATTATTTGCATGCTTAAATTTGTATCTGAGGTTGTTTTCTTCTTTCTGACAGGTACCTGGTGAACCAAGGCTGTATTAAGCCGTTATGTGATCTTCTTGTGTGCCCTGACCCAAGGATTGTTACGGTCTGTTTAGAAGGACTAGAGAACATCTTGAAGGTTGGAGAATCTGAGAAGAACTTGGGGAACACTGGAGGAGTGAACGTCTATGCCCAATTGATTGATGAAGCTGAAGGATTAGATAAGATTGAAAACCTGCAGATCCATGACAACTCTGAGATTTATGAGAAGGCAGTGAAGATTCTTGAAACATATTGGTTGGAGGAACAGGATGAGATATTGGCTCCAGCTGATGCTTCCCAACCTGGGTTCCAATTTGGTGGTAGTGAACTCCAAGTTCCTTCTGGAGGATTTAACTTCAGTTGAAGGTGAGCTTCCTTCTTAGTAATCCAAGTGTCTATATTTTGTGCATGCATCAGAAAACAAATCTTGTCGCTGCTCTTTTTATAGGTTTGAATTAGTTCAGTGTTTTATAGTTTAGTGGATTCGGATTACATAAATCAGAAGATTGATGATTCAGTTCCTGCTGAAATCCAGTTTATCTTAAGAAAAAAAAGAATTATTATTAGCTATGAACTCCCCTATATGAATAACTCTCCAATTTCTACACATTAAAGTTCCCAAACTGTCCAAGTAAATATACTTGCATGCTTTTTTTTTCTTCAATTGTTGATGAAGAAACTAACTCTTTGAATTGATTAATGGGTTTAATTTAAAAAAAGAAATGATTAATGGACATTGAGTGATGAAGAAACTAACCCTTTTTTGTTTTTGCATTTTAATAACTTTTTTGGTAGATGATTGTTTAGGAAGATTGGACACTTGCTGAGTTTTCTTGCTTTAAAATATGACTAGGCATGTATGTACCGAAAAAATGACTGGGTGTGACGGCCATTGGTTTGCATGCCAAGAATGATTTCGGTTGTATTTTAAATCTTTTGTTGATTCGCATATGTAACAATCATCTATCGATGGGAATAGTGTGATAGTCTGAACTTCATCTAGTGAGTTCTGAGCCAACATACCATCTAAAGAATTCATTTATTGTTTCTCATCCAATTGATGACGTTTTCTTCTAAAACTCTTGTAGGGTTTTTCACTTGGTGATGTGATACAATTGAAGTTGAGGGCGACGGGATGTATGTGTTGGAGTCAGGTCGAGTGTCTCGTCGTCTTGTTTGGGTTCTGTCTGGTCCGATCTCGGTCGTGGTTGTGGTGCCGAGGTGGAGTTTTGGCTCCTTCTACGGTGGTCGAAAAAAGGAGCACTGGTTTTTGGAAGGAGACATTTACGGACCGAGTAATGTGGCCGATATAGTTTTGCTTTTTGCATCAAGAGTTTTTGCGGTGAGGAAAGGAGCAACCGGGGCCTTTACTGTCTTGAGCAGGGCCCCTATATGCAGTTTGGAGTGGTTTCTTATTTTATTTTATTTTTTCAAATTCTTTTGTAGTGTGTAGCAGTTTTGATGCGGTCAGTCCTGGTATTGTTGGGGCGGGCAGATCTTTTGTAATCCAAATCTATCTTGCCTGCTGCATAGCTGGGAGAAAGAAAAGTAAGAAGAAAATGGGTTTTGTCATGGGAGGATGATCCATTAATTACACTATTATTCTTGAAAAGTCAATTTGGGTTGTACTTCAAGTTTGTTCCTATTTTCAGGTCTCCCCCTCTCCTTCTCTCCCTTTCAATTGCAATTACCGTGTATCCAAACTCCAACGAAGAAAAGTTGCGGCTTCGACTCTGATACTGGAAAGGCATGAGTTTTTCGGGGGGGGAATAGGTGTTATGATCTATCTACCTACATTATCGACTCTGATATCTACCCACATGATCTATATCTGTTTGTTTTGAAGGAAAAGATGGGGAAAGAAAGGGTTATGAGTTGGAGTGTCGATGTTATTCAAAAATTCGATTTTGAATTCGAGGTTTGACATAATCGAATTGAATTTAAATAATTTTAATATTTAATCAGTCGAATTTGGATATTTTATTTGCATTTAATAGTTAATCAGACTCGGATTTAGTTATGATTTGATTTGATTTGATCGATTATTTAATTTTTATGTATAATATATAGAATATTTAAATGTTATAAAATTTTGATTCGATTGGATGGTCCATGTTAGCAAGTCTCTCCTTTGAGAGAACCTATTTATCTATTCTCTTTTTTTTTTTCATTTTTCTATTTCTTTTTTTGTTTTAAAAATATATAAAGGTAATCATTTGTTTATCTTGATTGGATTAATAAAGTTACACACTATTATAGAGAGAGACTTTTAGTTTTTCCAAGGCTTATAGGGTATTATTTTAATGCATGTTATTATTAGTAATAATAATAATATTTTTTTTTATAATTAATAGTATTTATTAATTAACAGTATTTTTAATAATTATTGTATTTTTAAATAATTACCAGTATTTATTCAATAATAATATTAAGTAATGCATTTATTAATTAATGAAAAGTAAGTTATATTTTATTAAAAATAGTATTAATAATTACTGTATTTATTAATTAACAGTATTAACTGTATTTTTAATTATTACAATATTTTTAATAATTACAGTATTATTAATTAATTAAAAGTATTTATTGAAATACTGAATTTATTAATTAATCATATTTTTAATTAAAATAGTACTTTTAATAAATACAACATTTTTAATAATTACAACATTCTTTTATAAACAATATTTTAATAATTACAATATTAACAATTAAGCATATTTTACAGTATTTTCAATAATTATAGTATTATTAATTATAATATTTATTAATTAACAGTGTTTATTAAATTATATTTGAAACTATAAGTATTGTAATTAAAAGTAATTATATTTAAATGAACAGAAATTAGCCAAGAAAATAACCAAAATTAAAGTATCAATAATTTTGTCATAATTACCAAACATCGATTAATATGATTTCTAATAAATATGAAAAATTACTAAAAATTAAAAAATTTAGCCATTAAAATTAATTTTTGAGAGAACCTATTTATCTATTTTCTCAAAATTTGCATTTTTCCTATTTTTTTTTTTAAATATAAAAATGTAATCATTACTTATCTTGATTAGATTAATAAAGTTGCACACTATTAGAGGGAGTCCTTGGGATTTTCTAAGATCTCTTATTTAATGCATGTTATTATTTCATTTAAGAGAGAGAGAGAGAGAGAGTAGTAATTATAATTACTGTATTTTAAAATTTACAGTCTTAATAATAATTATACTATTTTTAACAATTAACAGTATTTAGCATATTTATTAAAAATAATGTATTTATTCATTAATAGTATTTTTAATAATTATAGTATTTTTAAATAATTACCAGTGTTTATTGAAAAAAAACAGTATTAAATAATGTATTTATTTATTAATATAATGTAAGCTATAATTTATTAAAAACAGTATTAACATTTATAGTATTTATTAATTAACAGTAATTAAATAATTATGGTATTTTATTAATTAACAGTATTAAATGTACTTTTAATTAATACATTTATTAATTAATATAGTACTTTTAATAATTACAACATTTTTAATAATTATAGTATTTTAATTGATTAACATTATTTATTAAAAATAATGTATTTTTCATTAATAGTATTTTTAATAATTATAGTATTAATAACTAACCCTATTGTATAGTATTTTCAATAATTGCAGCATTGTTAATTACAGAATATATAAATTGATGAGGGCAGATTTGGCCCTCCAGTGAAATTGCGACAAGTTGTTACAGTTCAGCACAGGCTTAGCCTTGCCTATTCTTTGAGGAGGGGTGGTCGACCTCCTTGGGTGCCTAACCTTGGCACTCCTAGACCTTCATCCCCTTGCGGGGTGGTCCTGATTAACGGCTAGCATGGCTACCAGGGTTCCTCATGGGCGCACA